ACACACACGCACGCATGCACACACGCACACACGCACACACACACCACACACACACACACACACACACACACGCACGCACGTGTTCCGTCTGTCCAAGCCCGCCCCCCTCGCAGCCGCCCACCTCCTCCTCCTCCCCCATCACGCGCCGCCCCCTGCCGCCGCGCCCGCCGTAGCCGCCGCGCCCCCCGCCCTCGTCGCTGCTGCCCCCGAGCTCCTCCTCCTCATCGTCCTCCTCCTGGGGGCAGGGCGGCCGCAGACGTGGCGTTGTGTTGTTGGATAATTTGACACCACTTGTGCGTGATGTGTTGCGATGCGCTTTGAGGGGGGGGGGGACGCGCGCATTTCTCCCCAAATCCACGCTCAGCTGATGGCGTGTCTTGATACCCCAAACCCGCGGTTTCTGCAACCTGATACCTAAAACCCTCAATCCGCGCAACCTCGATCATGAAAATGCAGGCATCAGTTGTGAGACTGACGGCCTCAAGGCAGTGAGGCCCCTTTACCGCCATACCCCTGCTATGGGGTGTTCGACCGCACCTGCAGACAGCCGGTCACATTGCCTGACCCCGGCCGACGTACCGCTTTCTTCCCCCACATCACAGGTCCCCTGATCCATGCTCAGCCCGTGCCGTGACGCAATCCCCAAAATCCTCGCCGGCGGCCCTCTGATGCAGCAGCCGCAACCATGAAAAGGGCCTCAACCAATTTAGTCTAAATATATCACTCAACAATCCAGCAGCAGAGCATGAAAACCCTAAATCGCCCACCTGGTATTCGGCCTCCTCCATCTCGTCGTCCTCCTGCTCCTCCAGGAACGCTGACGTCAGCGCCGCCCGCCGCGCCGCCGCCGCGGGCCGCGGCCTGTCGTACTTCGCCATCACCCGCTGCTGCTCCTCCCTTGAGATGGGTAAGGGGTGGGTTTGCACGGAGGACGGACGGGTGGTGAGGGGAAAGGGGGAGGGTGCATCTGTCGCTGGCCGCTGCTCATGTTTTTAGCCGATGGTGGCTGGCCTGGCGGGGTGTGTGCGGGACGGCAAACACACACACACACACACACACACACGCACACACACACAACAGCGCGCACACACACACGCACCCTCCCTTCCACATGAAACACACACAAACACACACACACACATGCACTGACACCACATCACGTCGTCATCTCACAAAAAGCGAGGCGTATCCCATCAAAGCCGGGCCGCACCTCAGCCGCGCCACCTCCTGCGTCCTCTTCTCCTGCTCTAGCTTCTCCAGCTCAGGGTTCTGGGCGCTGCGGTGGTAGCGCACCTGACGGGGTTTTGCGTGGGACGTGGGTTTTGCAGGGTTTGATTGCTGCGCCGGGGCTAAAAAAGGATGTTTGGGGTGGTGAACGAGGATCGGGTGTGCGGGTGGGATTGAGGGGTTCAAGAGGAGGTGTGATGAGGGGGAGAGAGTGCGTCAACGGCAGCGAACAGGGGCCGGAGGATTGTGTCTGCGTGTGTGTGTGGGGGGGGGGGGTATGTGCTCTGTGGGCACCGGTACAAACGGAGTCATGGCGGGGAGTCAGCCCGTAAAAGCCTGGGCCCCGACCGCGCGCATGCATCCATCTATCTATGCACACGTGCAGTCCTGGGGTCTGCGCATACGCTGTATGAAGGAGGGATACCGCGCTGCCCTTGGAGCTGACGTGTACACGACGCAGGCACGGCGACCCGCGTTGATTCAAGCGCTGGCGTAATAGCGCCAGCACACGCGTGCGCACAACCACCGCGGGCCCCACCTTGTCTGCTTTTTGGTACTGCTGGTGCACCGTCTGCTTCAGCGCCCGATGCAGCTGGGACCCCACGCTGGGCACAAGCGACATCTTATGCCTGAATTGGGCTTGGCCCTGGGGTTTCGATCGCAGGAGTGTTGGTTACTAGATCAGATGTGGTATGTGAAGTGTGAAAAAGTCAATCATTGGGGTTATGTGCTGCGGGGTTTCGACCGTGCAGGCCTTGTTGCAGGGTTGTCATGGTGGTGGTTTGGATGTGGGGGTTGCGTTGAAGGGCATGGCAGGACAAGTAATGGGTGTGGTCTCAAGGGGTGACCACATGCGTGCGGGCAAGGTCGGGTTCAAACATGGACGCCTGGTCTGCGTGAACAGTCGGCAGCCAAGTGACGCGCCGGTTCGGCATGGTCCTCGTTGCGATGTGATGTGTGTGACGTCACCGCCGTGCGTCTCACCTCGATGACGTCATACCGCACCACGAAGAGGTACGTCCTGTCTGCCGCCATGCTGGTCTTCACCACATCAAGCATCTGGGGGGGCGGGGGGCGGCAGGGGGGGAGGGGCAGGGGCCGCGCCGCGACCGCGTAAGATTTGAGTGATGTCGGCTGTGCTAGTGGTGGTGGTGCCACCACAGCCGCTGCCGTTGCCGCTGTTGAAGGTGGTGGGCTGAGTGGCAGATGATCGGGCCATGCTCCCCCCTTCTCAGCACAGTGCCCGCCGCGGCATGGGGGTACCGAAGTACCAAGAAGATGGGGGCGAAACCCAACGCGAGCTGGCTCAACCAAGGATAATTCAACAACACCTAACCATGGCAAACCCGCTACGATAGACATCGGACAGCACAACTATAAAAGATTAAAATGCCCGGAATAACGTCTCAGAGGAGGATGGAAGTGCTCCCACCTGGTCGCCCAGCATGACCGACTCGGACCCGTCGCTCCACTTGACCAGCCGCGCGTTCGTCTGCGCCACCCGCTCGCCGCCCAGCCCCCGCC